AAGAGACCAGCCTGTGCTTCAAGAGTATGTATGATTTTCAAATGACCACAGGGACAGTATTCTCTTTAGACTGTAGATCTTTGGAATAGGTACAATGATATTTGTGTATATTATATCTATCTACTGCAGTCCTTGGCATTTTACGGCCCCTGGGCCACATCTGGTCCCCTGGCTGTCCATATCCAGCCTGGATGAGCTCAATTGGAAATTAGAAATAAAATAAGTGTATGCCATGCATGCAATACAACTGCATTGCTTTTATTTTGAAGGAGACTGCTGGTTTTTTTTTCCAATTTATGTATGTGCGTGCATCCCTACCAGTGGTGGGTTTCAAAACCCACCGGTTTTGTAGTTTTTACTACCGGTTCTGTGGATGTGGCTTGGTGGGCATGGCATGGCTTGGTGGGTGTGGCTTGGTGTGCGTGGCAGGGGAAGGATATTGTAAAATCTCCATTCCCTTCCCAATCCAGGGGAAGGTTACTGCAAAATCCCCATTTCCTCCCTTATCAGCTGGGACTTGGGAGGGAAAGAATAGATGGGGGTGGGGCCAGTCAGAATTTTTACTACCGGTTCTCTGAACTACTCAAAATTTCCGCTACCGGTTCTCCAGAACTGGTCAGAACCTGCTGAAACCCACCTCTGATACCTACACATTTTCACAGCCCTATTGGTTTGGCCCTCCACAAGAATCCCTTGTGGCTCCTTGGGAAAATTGAATGCCCACCCTGACCTACTGAATGAACCATTTAGCATACTTGAAATTCAAAATGTATTAAAGAGTTGACTAGGAAAAGAAACAGAATACTAGATATTGTATAATACTACCGGTAGAAGAATGAACCATCTTCAATCATCACAAGGCTTCTATCTGAAAAGTACATTTTGTCATATTAAGTCACTTGTATTGCTCAAGCATCCATACTATTATGGTGAGAAACCAACACTGGCCATGATTAATTGACAATATAATCAGTGATTCATTTGTAGGCCCCACCCTAGTTTTGAGTGTAGACTGTGTGAAATGAATGCCACAAAATAAATTACTTAGAGTCACTTCCTCTTCTGACATGTTGAGGAGGATATACAGACTGTTACGATTTGAGAATTGCTTTCGCCTTTTCTCAGCCTGACTTTAGGTGTGACCACATCAACGTTAAACATCTCCAAAAGTAAAGGTAAACAGATGCCTCAAGAATCTGGGTGAACAGGAAAGAAACTATCTGGCTTATTGAACCCAGGTTCAGTCATCACTAAACACTAATATTCAAGTTTGTAAGTCTCATAAGAAGGATTGCCATTCAGTGGCAGAGCACATATTTTTCCAACAGAAGGTCCCAAGATCATCTTTGGAAGCACTAATTAAAACAGAATCATGGTTAGCAGATCATGTGAAAATTCTTTACTGTTGGACAGATTAGTCAGTACTGAACAATATGCACTTGATATGAAGCAATTATTAGTGTTTCTAAATTTGGTGCATATTGACATTTGCTATAGTTAACATTCATTTTTTTCGAAGTTTCAGCGCATATCATTATATAAATCATTTATGTTTGCAGATGTCTAAACTGCATTGAGGTACCTTTTATTTATAAACCAAACAGAACATTTCCTTGACTAGTCAGTAAATGTCCAAAATAGACCTCCCAATATCAGTGTCTGAATTGTTTATCTACAGCTTTCAAGTTCAACCCCATTCTTTAATAAACGATATGCTCATTTCTATTATTATAAACAGAGCACAATATCCAACTTACCTATCTGCTTAAAGCAGCTGGTGAATAAACTGCCTGATTACATCTTTATGAACCTTCAAGTCACCTCGTTGGTTATAGTTAGTCTTTTCAGGGTCCATCTTTTATCTGGGTTAATCACCCTAAACCAGTAGGAATGGGAGCCAGAGGAGAGCAAGTTTATTTTCTTTAGATCATGGATGTCAAACTCAATTTCATTGAGGGCCGCATCAGGTTTGCGTTTGACCTTGAGGGGCGGAGTGGGGGTGGCTAGCTTGATGTCACTCGTGTTGGGGGCACCTGTGGTGGCCCAAGCGCTCTGCCAGTGAAAATGGGCTCCCAAGCTCTGTTTTTGGCTGTGACGGCTTCCTCTGCCAGCGAAAACAGAGCTCTGGAGGGCTGTCCTCCTGAGCTCTGTTTTCACTGGCAGAGGCACCGCAGGCCAGTCTTTTACTGCTTCCAGGGTGACCCCATGAGCCAGATCTAAGCACCCCGCAGGCTGGTTCCAGCTCCCAGGCTTTGAGTTTGACACCCCTGCTTTAGATGGTTATAGTGCCCTCTGGGAATTGCCTGAATACTTCATGAAGTATCTTCATAATGAACTTATTCTTCTTTAGGTACTCCACTATAGAGCTATACAATTTGATCATTGTTAACTTGCACTGTTCCACATTTTGAATGTACTTATATTGTAGAATGCTGAAGTTCCTTAGTGCTCTTTGCTATTATCAATTCGACAAGATTTCATTGGAAAGAAACTAATTGTGGCACTTGTGGATTGAACTTCAGATGACAGAGAGATCTTTCCGAGTCACTAACTATCTCACCATTCCCATATCTAAGAGTGCCAGCGTTTGGATCCCACTTCTGTTCAGCAGAACATCTTAAGATGTTAGAAATAGGAACTGAATCTGCTTCCACCCCTGTAATAGAGGGACCAGGGAGGGTTTTTCATGTCTTCTCTTTTATTACTTGTCTGTTTTTTGAGTGACTCATATTTAATCTAGTGAAATACGTTGTAGAAGACCTAGAGATGTTGTTCGATTATTAGTCAGGGGAATGAAGCAGGCAGGAAAATTGCAACTGTTGAATTATTGTTATTGTTTTAATGTTTTACAAGGTGTTTTTATTGAATGATTGTAAGCCAGAGTCACTTTTGGTGAGATGGACAGCATATAACTTAATAAATAAATACATAAACAAATAAATAATCAATCTTGAAATGGGCAGTCTTGAAATGGGAGCAGTGGATATATTAAAATAATGAGGTTGATGCCCAAATTGGTTCCCTGATCCATCATCTTCTTTTGGCAACATGAATTCTGTTGTACAGAAGAGAAGCTTAAGAATTAGGCAACCTGTAGAGTGAAACCAAGATGGGTTTTCACCATGTGTCAAACAGGGTCTATAGTATGAGCCAAAACAAAGAATAGGTCAGCTGCTGCCTTCTAGATATGCTGAACCTAAACCCATTAATCCTGGATATTAGTCCCTTAGTAGGTTTTACGGAAATTATAGTTCAGAATAACTTATTAACTTATCTATTTCTGGTACTTCATTTAGGATTTTCCAGACTGAGGGATTCACTTTGTTCTTGAATTCCAAAGAGTGAATACAAAATAATTGAATACATTGACAATGAAGTGATGAATAGTTTTGCCTATTAGGATCAACCATCAATAGTAAAGAAAGAAGCAGACATGCATTCTCCCTCAGACCAGGGGTGAATCCAGCAAGTTCTGACAGGTTCTGGAGAACCAGTAGCAGAAATTTTGAGCAGTTTGGAGAACCAGTAGCAGAAATTTTGAGTAGTTTGGAGGACCAGCAAATACCACTGGCTAGCCCCAGATGGGGTGGGAATGGAGATTTTGCAATATCCTTCCCCCAGGAGTGGGGAGGGAATGGGAATTTTGAAGTATCCTTCCCCTGGAGTGGGGTGGGAATGGAGATTTTGCAGTATCCTTCCCCTGCCACGCCCACCAAGCAACACCATGCCCAACAAGCCACGCCCACAGAACTGGTAGTAAAAAAATTTGGATTTCACCACTGCCTCAGACTATCACTGGATAGAGCAATTGTGAATGCTTTGGAAAAGATATTAGATGCTGAATCTGATGTGTTTATACTGACAAAGATCAAAATTGTGCACACAATTGTTTTCCTTGTGATAACCTATGTAAACTAAAGTTGAACTTTGAAGAAAGTATTGCCAGATAGATTATCAAGGAAATCTAGCCAAGGAAACAAATAAATGGACCATAGAACAAATCCATCCAGATTTTTCACTTTAGGCAACCAATTTTCATACTTCGAACACATTATGCAATGATAATGGAGAATTCTATAATGCCAGGAATGGTGGAAGATGCTAAATATCTTTCTCTTTCACAGGTAATCAGAAAAACCACCCACTACCATAATTTATCTTTCCTTGCTCTGTAGATAAAGATGTCTCAAGACTTTCCTTTGTTATTGATGGACTACCATTTATTATATTCAGATACATGGATCTTGACTCATCTTTCAGATTGCGCTTTTACTTGGTTCTAACTTTATGATGTAAAATCCAGCATGTAAAACCTAGCCCATAGATCAATTGTTAAAGTATAAGATATTGTGGTTTGTTTCTCAAGAACTTTTTGTTAAAATGATTACCAGCCCTGGTACCAAATTTAGTTGCGACACAAAGCTTATATTTACTTAAGTACTCTGTCAACTGCTTTTCCCTTGGGAACATACATTTTATAAGGCTGCTGGCAATTTTGTTCTGGTCAAGAAATTAAATCAAATGATGTATGGATTTCGCTAGTTATCTTGGACATATTTCTTGTAAATGTATATGTTATCAAGTTCACTTGATAACATATACATTTGTTTCACTGCCTCAATCATACTGTACCTTCTCATGCTCACCCTAATCTTGGCTTTTGCTCTACATATAAGGATGTCTCAATTATCCCTTTCTGTGGATGAACTATGATGAGCTTAATGTTAGATTTCTTCCTGCATCTCTTCTGTGGTGGAGGATGTCCTGAAATAAGAAATTTATTGAAACAGTTGACACAATTTGTCTAAGAGCCCTCTCCAGCCAAGGGTCTTTGCAACAAGCCTAGGTTTCATCAAAATAATGAAATGTTTTTTTGTGACATCATGATAATGCTTATGTACTTGCATGTCATGTCACAATACATTTACAAAAGGGACAAAGTTTGTATCCTGATTGATGTTTCACAATTAGCCTCTTCTTGCCCCTCCATTCTGCTTGCTCCTTTTCACTCCAGTTTGCTTCAAAAACAGCTCTGTGATACATGGATGAACTGCAAGAATGAAGTAACAACGCTAGAGCACACCTAGAGGTAAACCTATATACATGAGTATTATGTACAAACTTATGCAACATGGGTATAATTTAATAAGGGCAAAAAGGAGCAGTTCATAAAAGGATTTCTGGAAACTGGGAGGAGGAGGGGGGGATGATAAAGAGAATAAAAAGAAGACTTGGGGGATGATGACAACAAGGAATAAAAAGTGAAAGTGATCATAACTCTGAAAATATCAGTTTAAAAAATCAGAAACATGCTTGGCTAGTATCAGAGAACAATCACAAAGAGTAATTTTTAATATATGTAGCCACCCACTCAGGAAACTCTAGCTGGCAAACGAAAATAAAAACGTAACCAAATTATATATAAAAATGAAACTGAATGGAAACCCCTAAAATAATTAATATATTAAACAAAACAGCAAACACCCCAGAGCTTCATCACATCCTCAGTGCTTGGGGGGGAAGTGCCAGGTTTCACAGCCTTCTGAAAGGCCAACAGGTGGTCCATATCTCTAGGGTGAGATTGTTTCACAAGGCAGGTGCTATATCAGAGAAGGCCCCAGGGCCAATCAAATTAGCTTGGATACTTTTCCAGATCAAATGGGATTGCCCCAAAACACAGGAGACTGGCAGTCCCATAGGGAACATGGCCACATGTCATATTGGGGCTTTAAGTAGCATTTTGAATTGCACCTGGAAGCATACTAAGACTCAGTGAAGCTCACGTAGCAGCATTATGGGTGCATAATGGATGCATTATGGTGCAAATCTGCATGTGCTGCTGCTTTCTGGACCAGCTGAAGTTTCTGAATGCTCTTCAAAGGCAGCCCCATGTCGATCGCATTGCAATACTACTATCATTAGGTAACTAAGGCATGAGTGAGCAGTTCCTCCCAATCTAGGAAAGGGAATAATTGCTGGACGTAATGTAACCATGCAAAGACCTTCATGGCCTCGGTTACCAGCTGCTCCACCTCCAAAATTTGTGAGTCTTGGAGGATGGAGGGTTAGCCCATACAGAATTAATGACAGACAATCATTAATATGGAAGACACTAAAACCCACAGCCACACAATGCTGTCAAGGTCAAAGCTGGGTCATTCACATTCAGACCTGCCCAGTCTTCAGATACTGAGAAAGCACCCTGAAAATATCACGCCCAGGGCAGAGATACATAACTGAATATTAGTGACCTACTTATGATAATTAAGATGTTGAGATTCTAGAAAGAGTGCAGAGAAGAACAACAAAGATGATTAGGGGACTGGAGCCTAAAACATACGTAGAACAGTTGTAGGAATTGGGTATTCTAGTTTAATGACAAGACAGGAAGGCCTGGAGGAACGTTGTCCATGGGGTTGTGATAGGTCAGGCACGACAGTTTAATGAAAAGAAGGACTAGGGGAGACATGATAGCAGTGTTCCAATATCTCAGGGGCTGCCACAAAGAAGAGGGAGTCAAACTATTCTCCAAAGCACCTAAAGGCAGAACAAGAAGCGATGGATGGAAACTAATCAAGGAGAGAAGCAACCTAGAACTAAGGAGAAATTACCTGACAGTTAGAACAATTAATCAGTGGAGCAACTTGCCTCCAGAAGTTGTGAATGCTCCAACGCTGGAAGTTTTTAAGAAAAGATTGGACAATCATTTGTCTGAAATGGTATAGGGTTTCCTGCCTAAGCAGGGGATGGGACTAGAAGCCCTCCAAGGTCCCTTCCAACTCTGTTATTCTATTCTATTCTATTCTATTCTATTCTATTCTATTCTATTCTATTCTATTCTATTCTATTCTATTCTATTCCATTCCATCCCTATTCTATTCTATTCTATTCTATTCTATTCTATTCTATTCATTCCATGTCAATGAATGACCTCATGGATGGATGATAGAAGTTACATAAGTAGGAGTGGAGAGAGTGGAACCCTGTGGCACTGCACAGAGCAGAGGCCTAGGACTGGGTCTTTCTCCGCTACCTTCTTGGAAGTATCCTTGGAAGAAGAAGGAGAATCACCAAAGCACAGTGCCCTCCATTCCTAATCTTCTTGGCTAGCAGGATACTATGATCGATGCTTGAAACTTGCAAGCATATCTGTTTGGAAGTTGTCCAGGTAGAACTTTAATAGGCAATGCCTTTTTTTAAAATACAATTATGGTTGGAGGATATAAATTCACATTTTCAATCTGAGTTATCTGTCATTTTGATTCTTGCATGTTTTGCTCAAGACAATCAGCTACAGTCATGTGAGGGAAGTTGTCTCTTGGTCTTTGGAAAGTAATATTACCACTGAACTACAGAACTGCATCATTGGATTCAGTGGAAGAATGCCAAGACTGAGAACACAGATAATTTCTTGTACTAAGTAGCTGGAGGAGAGAAGGACTAGAAGGAACAAATGAGGGGATCATAACAATATTGTCTAGGGATAGAAATGCCTGGAGCTCTAAAGAGGTATTGTCAATCAAGGAAAGTAATTTTCTGCAGCTTAATGTCTTTGGGAAGAGAGTTTTCAATAGATGATATTGACCTAGATGGATCAATGGTTGTCCTGGGATGAAGCATTTTCTGTCAGAAGAAGGCAATATTCATTATATGTTCTTTAATGCCATTTTAATGCTATGATAATGCTTATTTTGCTAGATTTACTGTTTTCTTTTTTTACGTTTTTTATGTTGAGCCAAAGCTGTAGTGTTCCCTTTGCTCGTTGGGACATTAGACAACTGGTTGTGAGCAATTTAAATTTTCCATTGATAGGACAGACAAGCTTGAGTATGTGAAAGGAAACAGGGAAACTTCGCATGATATGCTTTGCAGCCATTATCATCTTGCCTTTAAATTTGATTGTAGGGGTGATATAAACATTAATGCATGTTAAATATTGATCCTCCTTAAGATAGAACAAATTATCATAAAAATAATTGATAGACTTTAGTATTTAAGAGATTGCTGAGGGTGATGCAATTGCATGAGTTTATTGATATTTGGAGTACCCATTAACAAAAGATTTCATATATTATTCAGGTAGGCATCAATCTCATTCAAGAACAGATTACATCTGGGCTTCAAAAAATATTTTTGAACCTGAAGTAGAGATTGCATAACATATATTTCAGATTATGCTCTGGATTTAGTTTGGAGGAAGACACACCATTCATTCCAGTGATGGGTTTCAATTTTTTTTTACTACCGGTTCTGTGGGTGTGGCTTGGTGGGCGTGGCATGGCATGGCATGGCTTGGTTGGCGTGGCTTGGTGGGCATGGCAGGGAAAGGATACTGTAAAATCTCCATTTCCTCTTGATCAGCTGGGATTTGGGAGGCAGAGAATAGATGGGAGCGGGGCCAATCAGAATTTTTACTACCAGTTCTCTGAACTACTCAAAATTTCTGCTACCGGTTCTCTAGAACTGGTCAGAACCTGCTGAAACCCACCTCTGATTCATTCATTTTTGAGTTTTAAATTTAGATTGCTATGTAATGGACAATGTTTTTTAACAAAACATTTCATTCTGAATTTGGATTTTTTTAAAAAAAGGGAAACAGTAGGGAACAAGTAGTACTAACTACAAGATGGGACATGAGTAGTTAAGGCACCAGGCTAGAAACCTGGAGATGGTGGTTTCTAATCTTGCCTTAAAAGGGATGTGGTGGCTCAGTGGCTAAGTCACTGAGCTTGTCGATCGAAAGGTCGGCAGTTCAGCGTTTCGAATCCCTAGTGCTGCGTAACAGGATGAGCTCCCGTTACTTGTCCCAGCTTCTGCCAACTTAGCAGTTCGAAAGCACGTAAAAAATACAAGTAGAAAAATAGGGACCCCCTTTGGTGGGAATGTAACAGTGTTCCGTGCACCTTTGGCATTTAGTCATGCTGGCCACATGACCACGGAGACATCTTCGGACAGTGCTGGCTCTTTGGCTTTGAAACGGAGATGAGCACTGCCCCCTAGAGTCGGGAACAACTAGCACATATGTGCAAGGGGAACCTTTACCTTTAATCTTGCCTTAGGCACAAAGCCAGCTTGAGGGCCTTTGGCCAGTTATTCTCTGCCCAAGGTTCACTCAGCCTTCCATCCTTCTGAGGTCTGTTAAATGAGGTTGCAGATTGTTGGGGGCAATATGCTGACTCTGTAAACCTTTTAGAGAGGGCTGTAAAGCCCTATGTAGCAGTATATAAGTCTAAGTGTTTATTGCTATTGTTATTTTTGAAAAAACATATCAAACCAAATTTTATTTTTAAAGCAGAAAGATTATGAATTTAAGAATGAAAACTAAATATTATTGGCAAATAAGCTTAAAAAGTGCAAAAGGTGATGTATATATAAAGGCATTGAAATATGCTAAAGCTCACATTCTAAAATATTACTAAAATTGTTTCCAAAATTATCTTTCTTATAAGCTCAATATTTGAATTATGTTTTCAAAACCAGAAGCTGATGAAGCCTTTCAAAGTATTAATCATGGAAAATCTTTGAGCCACATAATAATTTGATAAGAAAGACATTCTTGTACTGAATTCTTGTTATGCAATCATTGCATGAGGGAGATCTTCCGTTATCCTGGCACAGCTCTAAAACTGCTCTAATTCCTATACCAAGTAAAGATCAATTTTAAAAAAATATTTCTAGAGATTTTTACTTAAACTTGATTATAAATTACTCTATATACTGAACCATTAGTAAAAAATCTCAAATTTATAAAGGAAGAAATTTACATCTCAATAAATCAGATTTCATTGGAGGAAGAAATATATGTTGCTCCATTAAAAAATTACTAAATGTTATTTACTTTTGTAAAGGAACAAGCCTTCTCTATCACTTTGCTTATTAAATATTTTGAAAGCTTTTATTGTATGGAAAGATTATTCTTAAAAAGATTTAAGTTTGGCAAGTGTTTTTTATTAACACGGCAGATCAGATTTATAACAGCAGCAACCAAATAGGAATTGATAAATATGATTCAGAACAATTTCTAATTTCAAGAGATACTAAGTAGGAATGTTCATTATCCCTTATTAAGTCTTATTACAGGTATATAAGTAGTTCCATTTTGTAGCAATAAAGACATTAAAGAGATGAAAGCATGACATCAATCCTATCTATTAAATCTAGTTGCTGGTGATATAATGTTAGTTTTTATGAATGTTAGTAATTCAATGGAGTACCTTAGGATGCAATTGGAAGAATCTGCAAAAGTATCAGTATTGATAATAAATTTTCAAAAGTCACAATGTCCTTTCTCCTAAAATTAAGAAACATTAGATATTAAATATTTTAAATATATGGGTGAATACAAATTCTTCAAATTTATAGGAATTAATACTATAAAATATTAACAAATTGTTTAATAATAACGTAATTCTTGTGCAGAAAAAAAACAAGAAATGAAAATACTGATTTGAACAGTGGCAGTTAAAATTATGTTCTTTGAAAATAATAATTTATTTCAAACGCTTCCAGATAAAACTTTTAAATTAACACTATGACAAAGAAAAATGAACAATTAAAGGTTAAAACAAAGATTTATATAGTGATCGCAGAACAGTGTGAATTAACATTACATTGTCAAGCAGCAAATTTGGAGCATTTATTTCCATTATATTGGAAGATGCAGCAAGCTAGAAAACATAAACATAAAAAGCATTATAAAAATGGATAACATCATGGCTGTGATGTGATTCACATAAACCATGTTTCAAGGTTGGTAAAAAAAGAATATACAGGATTAATAAAGATTATCTGCCCATTTAATGCTATAACCAGAATTTTATAACTGAGATACATCAATGCAGTTGAAGATATGAGAGATCTCAATCAATTTAGAGTTAGTGATTTCCACAATAATAAGATACTACAAAACCACAAAGAGATTGAGTTACAAATAAGCCACCATTTGTCTGTCTATCAAGACTCCAATTAAATTATTATTTTTAAGTAGGAAGGTATAAATGACTCATTATCTCACGTGTAACTACTTTTGTAAAATTAATAATTAATTATTCTTCACAACTTAAAAGAACAATCTAAGAATCAGACATACACTCTCCTGTTAATATAAAAGAAGTGAGGTATATAAATTTAGGAAATTAAATGGATGAGATGAACTTCACGGAAGTCTGGGTGTTTTCAGCTCTATCAAGAGATGCACTGGAAGACAGCCTATCAGTGGCACTGAACTTCAGTCAGAATAGTACAAATTACTCATTATTCATCCAAATGTAGGAGTGGCCATAATCAGAAATGGAAATGTTTTCCATACATGGTGGACTTGTAAATTGATTGCATCTTTCTGGAAGGAAATACACCAAAATACTAACTAAATAAAACATTGAAGAAGGCAGAGGTGGGTTTCAGCAGGTTCTGACCAGTTCTGGAGAACCGGTAGTGGAAATTTTGAGTACTTCAGAGAACCGGTAGTAAAAATTCCCACCCCCATCTATTCTCTGCCTCCCAAGTCCCAGCTGATTGGGAGGAAATAGGGATTTTGCAGTAACCTTCCCCTGGAGTGGGGTGGGAATGGAGATTTTACAGTATCCTTCCCCTGGAGTGGGATTTTACAGTATCCTTCCCCTGCCATGCCTACCAAGCCATGCCACTCCCACCAAGCCACGCCCACAGAACCGGTAGTAAAAAATTTTCAAACCCACCACTGGAAGAAGGTAACTCTAAACAAATGTATTATATATATAACTGCATTATATCTAACTTTAGCTAATACAGTGATATGTGGGAACTAGGACTGAATCTTGAGATGTACAGCTTTTGCACGTTATCTTGTATTTTTTGCTGCTTTCATGCCCTACAGTCTGTTAAAAATAAAGAAAAAACTCCTTTGGCGGCTCCCCTTTTAGATCCTGTAGGAATAAGTGGGAAATGGTTGCAATTATTTTGCAATATGCTGGTCTCCCACTAGGACATTATCATTGCTGGACAAAACCTGCAGTAGGAAATATTCTCAAATGCAAGCAGGAAAGTATGTAAACGGCCTGTATTTACTGCATTAAGACTGATCAGAAACTTCAAAGACATGCAGCCAATTGAAGGATCCTTGGTATTCTCTAAGTTTGCTTGTTTTCTTACAGACATTCCATTACCCAAACTAGCTAACATCATCAGTGCTAGTCACTAGAACTGCAAGAAAACAAGCAAGCTCAGAGAGCACCAGGGACCCCTCATTTCAACCCTGAGCTATAAATGTTCTCCTTTATCATGCAGCCAATTGTTTTGACTTCCTTCCTTCCTTCCTTCCTTCCTTCCTTCCTTCCTTCCTTCCTTCCTTCCTTCCTTTCCTTCCTTTCCTTCCTTCCTTCCTTCCTATCAGCCAGCTGTAATTTTGAATGGAGTTGACTTTTTATTTCCTGTGGACCAATAATGCTAAGATGACTGTTGACATTTTCAAGTGGTGGTCTGGTTAAGCTCTAAATTTTCCTGAATGGAATTTGGCACATTCTCCAGCCTTTCTGTCCAAGCTAGTCTTGCTCTTTTATAGCTGCTTATAATAAAAAGCTGAATACCCAAAGGCCAATTTGTGGCTTCCAGAGAAGGCAGTCTAATTCCCTACATGGCTAATGCCGAGTTCTATTGTGGGTTACTAGAAATGAAGCTTAGGATGAGGTCATACTTACAAATCTTTCTTCGCTTGAGTTAATGTGCATTATTATCCATTCATAAATTATAGTTTTCCTGTTTTAAATGCCTCCAATCTATAATCCCCCCAGCTACCGTAGGAAGATCTTAAACTTAAACTGTGAAGAGCAACAATGCACTTGTGCTCATAATAATATGTTCCTTTACAAAGGATAGATCTGACTCCCACTACTGTATTTAAATAATCCAAGGAACCTTGTCTTTATCCAGACTTAGCCAGCTATATTGTTCAGTGTATGATAAATGCAAGTACTATAATAAAAAAAGAATATATTCCTCTTACTTCAAAATCTCATCTCATTTTTATCTATCTAAAGTTTTGCCTTCAACTGATTAGAATTACCTGTGGCTAGGTGGCTCAGTGGCTAAGACGCTGAGCTTGTCGATCAAGAAAGTTCAGCAGTTCGAATCCCTGGTATAGGTCTCCTGCGTGAGCAGGGGGTTTGACTAGATGACCTCCAAGTTCCCTTCCAACTCTGTTACTGTTACCTATGTCTCCCCTAAGATACAAATAGATATTTTTGTCTCTGGCAGGATGAGTGGTGCTGGAGTCTTGAAGAATGGTAAAAGCTTCTACAGCCCTCCACCTTGTTCCTGGGAAGTCCAGGTATTAACAGTTTGGAGGTTTGCAACATGACTTTATTAAATGAACCTATTTGGCCAATGGGACGAAATGCAATGGGACATGGAGTTGTTTTTTTCATTCTCTGCTTACCAAAACTTCAAACAGAAGTAGCATAGTAAAATTCACATTTGTTTTTTTTCAGGATGCTACATTAATTTTCCCAGCAGGTTGCTTTCCAACTGTACTTGAACTACAACTCCCAACAGCCTTAGTTACCTTGGTTAGGAATGATGGGCATTGTGGTTCAAAACAGATAAGCAGCAGCAGCCTGGAAAAGTTCACCCTGCTAATTTTCTTGCAGAAGGCATTCAAAAATTAATAGAAATTATGCAAAATGTAAAATTATTACATTATACTATCTAGCTGTGCTGCTTAACTCTCTCTCCATCATCTGGCACTACATTGTCAATCATTTTATACTTTATATCTATATGATTTTCTTGATAAAAATGTAGGAGTAGTTTACCATATCCTAAATTACAGAATTTATGCCTTTGCCATTGTCACTAAACTAAAGTAATCCGCTGCCTCCAGCATCTTCCTCTATTGCTGCTGCCCATTATAGATGCCTGCTTGCTTTACCTGGGCAGCTAGGATAACCTTAAGTCTGGGAATATATACTCTTGGCCTACAGTCCTGATCTCTTCACTCATATCTCCCAGAAATACATACATACACAGAGTCTCTCTCTCTCTCTCTCTCTCTCTCTCTCTCTCTCTCTCTCTCTCTCTCTCCCTCCCTCCCTCCCTCCCTCCCTCCCTGTGTGTGTGTGTGTGAGAGAGAGATTTCTGGCAAGAACATTTCCAAAGGTTCTATTTTGTATCTTTTCTGGGTGCTCACAGAGGTTGAAAGTTTCAGATTTGGATCAGGGTTAATTGACAAACAGATAAGCACAGCTGCCTCTTAAGGCATTCTACTTAGTAAGGGATGCAGACTTCTCAGCCAAGCTGCATTTCCCATCTCCTGATATAATGCAAGGAGCCTAGGAATTAGAAAGGAATCAGAGCACCATTGTCCCAATGAGTGATTTTCCCTTTAAAAAGGAAAATGGGAAGAAAGAGTGGCCAAGGCTCTATCAATACTGACTTGATTCCCCCCCCTCCTGTTTCACAATATTTAGCAAAGATGAAATACACTAATGCAGTCTTATTCAACAGTCCAGATGTGCTGGAGCTGTGGTTGGAAGATAGTGGCATCGAAAGCACACTCCAGTAACAACAGAAGGATGTTCTGCAGGAAGTGACTTCATCACATCAATGCCCCTATTAGGTACCTGCATCCAGATGTATGAGGCAGGTACATAAATCATAACATTTGTATCACAAAGGTGTGGTCTTACCATCTGCCCTTCTGCCCCCTGCCCCAATAGCTACACATCCAAAACTCCCTACCCTGCAAATACGTAGGAGATTGCAGTAACCTTGGTACACAGTGAGAAGCAAGGTTAACTTGGTTAACGTGGATTGAAAGTGGATTGTCGGCACTGAAAATAGTCAATTTATCTGGAATTATTACATATCTCAAGTAAGTCTACAGATAAAAATTTCACTCATGACAAAATCTTAATTTCAGGAGGAAGCTGGTAAATCATAGAAAAGATTCAAATCTAGCATCACCTTCTCTCTCATATACTGTTAAAGGTGTATACTTGTTGCAGGACCATTTGTCTGAAGTGGAGTAGGGTTTCCTGCCTAGGTAGGGGGTTGGACTAGAAGATTTCCAAGGTCTGTTATTCTGTTATTGGGATCCAATGTGGTTTGGTCACCAGGACCAGAGCATGGTAAGTCTTCCAAGTTTTTGGACTTGTTCTGGAGATCATCCTCAGGGAACTTCTCTCTCTCTCATCAGAATGTGATTAGAGATTCCCCAAATGTTCCCTGAGGATGGGCTCCAGCATGGGTCCAAAGCTCGGAAGACTAAATCACTGGTTCCAATGACTGACCTAGATTGTATCCTGCAACAAGTACCAGTATACACAACGTAATGTAACATTATCCTGGGACACACATATTTGCCTTCATTCATGTATATGTGTGTGTGATTTTTACTATACATTTTTAAAAAGAAACATTTAAATTGGGTCTCCCATCTTTTTCTCGTAAGCATCATTGCTAATATTGTATTCTCTTACTTTTCCTGGCTGCATAACATCTTCAGGTGACCCAGGGAAGTTATCGAAGCTATTGTTTCATGTCTAAATGCAATGCAATTTCTTACACTTGACTTAACAACAATGAGGTGGCATTAAACCAAAAAAGAGTCTGCTTCATTGCCCACAAAATGAGCAATGGACTGCTGATAGTCGATCATCTGTGAGTAATTCTTGCTTAGGTATTTATTTGATTTACTGACACTTTCTGTAACTTTTACAAAATAATCTTGCTAGATTGTAAGGTTGGAAAGGAATTTTATTTCACTAAGCAAGAATTGTGTCCTCTTCTCTCCCCTCAACTTTTGACATTTTACAAGTCAAAAAAAAAAAAAAAGAGATTGACTTACTTATTAAATTTATATGCCACCCATCTTACGCTGAAAACAATGACTCTTCCTTGAGTCTCTTCCACATACCAGAAAACAGCCAAGTTAAGAAAGTAAGGGGTCAACTATTTTCTAAAGCACCTGTAGGCCAGACAAGGAATAATGGATGAAAACTGAACAAGGAGAGATTTAACCTGGAAATAAGGAGAAATTTTCTGACAGTGAGAACAATCAACCAGTGAAACAGCTTGCCTTCGGAAGTTGTGGGAGCTTCATCATTGGAGGCTTTCAAGAAGAGATTGGACTGCCATTTGTCAGAAATGGTGTAGGGTCTCCTGCTAGGGTGGGGGTTGGACTAGATGACCTACAAGGTCCCTTCCAATTCTGTTAATCTGTATCTGTATGTTCTTTTATAGATCCTCTGCAGCTCTAGACCAACCTTTCCCAATTTGATACCTCTAGAGCAGAGTTTTTCAACTTTAGTTTACTTTACCCACTTTAAGCTCTGAGAACTTCCATGCTGGCTGGAAAATTCTGGGATTTGAAGACCAAACATCTTAAAGTTGCCAAGTTCAAAAAACACTATTGTAGTGCTCTTCCTTCTCCATAGTGTAACTTTCATGCAATGCAGGAGGGGACTATTTCATTTTTTTTTTTAAAAAAAATGATGGTTACACATTGTAAAATGTTAAATATGTAGCATCCTACTATCCTTTGGGAAAGCTTTTTCCCAATGCTATCAGGATGTGAAAGCATGACTTTTACAGAATTCAATAAGTTGAGTGTTGCAAGATTCAATCTTTCTTCTCTACTCTTTGATTTCCAAAACAAATGGAACCTATAGACAATTGCTGGATTTCTTTTTGTTTAGTACCCTACATAGGTTCTAAACCACATATTTAGGTGGAAGATACACATCAGATGGGAAAGAAAGAGTGAAATAGCTCTCTTAAACTTTGAGGGGGAAAAGCCAAAGGCAGGCTTTTATTCCACCTGTTTGCAGCTTATGGTACAAGTAGCATATGTTAGTCTCTATGTGAAGGTAAGAGAGTAGAGGACATGCATGTGTGATATTACTTTACTCATTGAGTGTTGACTTTTCACATTCTCTTGGTCAGAGAGTTTTTTTTCTCTCTCTCTCTGATAGATTACTCCTGATGTTTGGACAGAAAGAAATGTAAACTACACACACACACACACACTGGACTCCATAGAACTTGGAAACTATTTATTTCCCCATACCTTCAGATTAAAAGCAATAATATTTATCATCAGAAGTAATGTTTGTACTTCTCTTACCCTGTCCATTGGATGCAGCTAGAATTGTTATAGAGCAGGGGTGTCAAACTCAAGGCCCCGGGGGCCGGATCAGGCTCATGGAGTGCTTAGATCTGGCCTGCAGGGCCACTCTAGAAACAGCGAAGGACCAGCCCACGGTGCCTTTGCCAGCAAGAATGGAGCTTGGGAGGGCTGCATGCAGCCCTTGTGAGCTCCACTTTCGCTGGCAGTGGGTTGCAGGAGGCCATTGCAGCCAAAAATAGAGCTCGGAAGCCCGTTTTCACTGGCAGAGCGCTCGAGCCACCATAGGCATGAGTGATGTCAAGCTGGCCATGCTCAAGGTTGACTCAGCCTTCCATCCTTCCAAGGTAGGTAAAATGAGGACCCGGTTTGTGGGGGCAATAAGCTAACTTTGTATAAAAAAGAACACTGCTTAGGAGGGGCCAAAAGCCCTACTAAGCAGGTATATACAAAAGTATGAAGGCTATTGCTTAAAAGCATTGTAAGCCGCCCTGAGTATCCAGAGAAGGGCAGCATATAAAACAAACTAATAAATAATAATAATAAATCTTTTCAAAACAGGTAGATGTGTGAGGAAAGGGAAAAATTATGAGAAGAGAGAAAAATGATGAACATTTCTTCTCTTATCCATTTGATGAATTTCAAAATAAAGAGAAGCTGCCATGTGACTTAGCAGCATTTGTGGGTGTGGTGTCCACCCTACAGACCTTAAGGGATATTTTTCTTTCTTTTTGCTTGACTTCAGTTATGTCAGCTAGTGAGTGATTTTTCAAATATCTTGTTCTTCCTGTAAGCTGTCTGGCTGCATTATATTGTCTTCCTGCCTAACCTTACTAAGGGCAAAGGTTATGATAATAAAGGAGTACAAAGAAGTACACATATTTTTATTTGTCTGGAGAAAAATTACCAACTAGTCTTACCATGAATTGTAAAAGGAATATGGGCAATCAACCCACAGTATGTAGTCACTTCTCCATATACATTCAGAGAGTAGTTATGGCAATCTGAGAGGGGACAGGACAAGTAATTTTTCAGTTCCACTTTTGGGAATCTACTGTAAAAATGTCTGCACCCACATTATTTATAAATATAGTTGCACAATTGCCATGGCTACTAGCTTGAGAAACTTGGAAACCGTTTACAATATTATTGAGAAAGAGCCACAGCAACTACTCCATATCCACCAAGCCTTTTAGCAGATGGCTGCTAATTTTTTCCTGCCACTTTTAAGACATTTTTGCTTTATTAAATAAAAACTTCATAATGGTACTT